TAAATTTATTTTTAAGATCATTACATCAAAATAATTCAAAAATATTATAATTAATTTTAAACAAGAAAGATCATTACATCAAAATAATTCAAAAATACTAAAATTAATTTTAAACAAGAAAAAATCAGATTTTGGGCAAACAAACACACTATTGTAGTCCAATGATAGGTTTCTTGCCGGAGATAATGAGTATGAACATTAGAAATATGAACTTCTCAAACCAAAATGAGGTCCCTAGCTAATTGATTCCAAAGTTCTTTTCTCGAGAAAATATATACATGCATGACGGAGAAATTAGTAAGTGTGACATTAATATAAGATGCATGATGGTATATATTAATAAACAATCAATGTTTAAGGAAGATAAATTATTAACCAATGAATCAATGTTTTTCTTGAAATATCAGGTTTATTTCTCGGATTATCTTGTTGAAACGGCCGGTGATAACGAAAGGTCCACTGGGGATTGTTTCTTGGACAGAGCTAACATTTCTGGCCATGTTTGTTGCATTGCTGGTTTGGTCCATGTATTCATATACGCATAATATGTTTGCATTTGCTGCCCTGGAAGCTGCTCAAGAAAAATTTCAAGTGTAAGCCTAGCCTTACCTCCTTCTCAACCAATGTCAGAGCAAAAGGATTGATTGGTGTTTAAAGGGTTATTGATTTATGGATATTTTTGGCAGGTGGGAAGTTAAGTTGCGAGGTGCAGCTTTGAGTCTAGGGCTTGCAGGGAACGCCTGCCTGGCCTTTCTCTTCTTTCCAGTGACTAGAGGGTCTTCAATTTTGCAGTTTGTTGGCCTGACCTCAGAGGCAAGCATCAAGTACCATATATGGCTAGGGAATATTACTATGGTCATCTTCACAGCTCATGGTCTAAGCTACATCACTTATTGGTCCCATACACATCAAATTTCACAGGTAATGTTCTATGGAATCTGCTAACTTTAGTCACTGTGTGTTGGTTTAGAGCTAGCTACTGAAGCTTTGGGCCATGTCTGTGCTGAATGTGGCAGATGCTCAAATGGGACAAGTTCATGGTTTCCAATGTGGCTGGAGAAATAGCTTTGCTTGCTGGATTGGTCATGTGGGCAACAAGTTTCGGACGGATAAGGCGAAAGATTTTCGAGCTCTTCTACTATAGTCATCATCTCTACGTTATGTTTGTTATCTTCTATGTGTTCCATGTTGGTTTTGCTGAATCTTGCCTCATTCTTCCTGGTTTCTACCTCTTCTTGATCGATCGATATTTGAGATCCTTACAATCTCAGCAAAAAGTTCGCTCTGTCGCAGCACGCATTTTACCTTGCGAAACAGTAGAGTTGAACTTCTCCAAGAATTCAGGTGAACTCAAGATTTTGTAACTAGATGTTACTGAAAGGTTTTGCAATCAAATTTTCCACTCTCGAGATATGTTTTTGACACTCTTCTGTTCATTGTTGTGCCAGAGTTGAGCTATGCACCAACAAGCATTGCGTTTATAAATGTGCCTAGCATTTCCAGGATACAATGGCATCCCTTCACTGTTACCTCCAACAGCAATATGGATTCTGATAAGCTAAGTATTGTCATCAAACGCGAAGGAAGCTGGTCTCATAAGTTGTATCAGATTTTGTCCTCCCCTTCTACTAACCGACTTGAGGTCGCCATCGAAGGACCCTATGGACCTCCTTCAACCAATTTTACGAGGTAAACAGGTGTTAGCAGAATCTGTCTATCAAGATTTAAATTTTTGTGGCAGCTAAACTAACATAGAGAAATTGTCCCAGGTATGAGAGGCTAGTACTGGTGAGTGGTGGAAGCGGCATAACTCCTTTCATCTCCATCATCCGCGAGATCATCTTTAAATGCAACACAACAAGCAGCAAGACTCCAAGGATTCACCTCATATGTGCTTTCAAGAAATATGTCGATCTCACCATGCTTGACCTTCTTCTCCCAGTTTCTGGCACCACTCTTGACCTATCTCGGTTACTGTTACAAATTGAAGCCTACATAACCCGAGAGACACAGTCAAAAACAGAGAACCAGAATTCTATCAGAACAATATTGTTCAGGCCTCATCAATCAGATAGACCAGTTTCTGCAGTTTTAGGACCTAACAGCTGGCTGTGGCTCGGCGCGATAATCTCATCTTCTTTCATCATCTTCCTTATCTTGATTGGCCTTCTCACACGATTTTACATTTACCCAATCGACCACAATACCAACATGAAGCATCCTGTCCCAGCAAGTTCAGCTTTCAACATGTTATTTGTGTGTATAGCCATAACAATAGCTGCCTCTGCAGCTTTTCTGTGGAACAAAGGAGAGAATGCGAAGGAATCAAGCCAGATTCGAACCACGGATATGTCAACACCAGCACCATCACCCACTTCATTGGTGTCCGAAACAGAACTGGAAAGCCTTCCTCACCAATCTCTTCGCCAAGCCACCACAGTGCATCTAGGTCAAAGGCCAAATCTGAAAAGTATGCAATCCTTTCCTCCCACGAGTGAATTTATAAACTTCTTACGTACTACTGACTTGTTTATATGTAAATCCCATTTCCTTTTGATATAAATTTTTGGATTCTTGATTCTTGCAGAAATATTATCAGAGTACAAGGAAGAAAAGGTAGGAGTTTATGTTAGCGGGCCAAGGAAGATGAGGCAAGAAGTGGCAGCAATTTGTTCATCTTCAGCAGATAATCTTCATTTTGAGTCTATCAGCTTCAGCTGGTGATTTAGAAAAAGACATGTTAGAATCTAGCAGTTTGGTTCGAAAAATTTGTAAATTCCAGAAGTCCTTTGAGTGTTCATTGCAGTCCCCAACATCTCTACTTGCATTAGTTTTATAAAAGCAACGAGTACAAGCATGGTTATAATACTCCGGCTATGACGCGACCAAAACTCTGGTTACGGTTACGCAGTTAATGAGTAATAGCATGTATGTTTGGCAGTGATAGTTGTTGAAAATATTTTTTGTTTTTGATTCTTGCATTAGTTTTATAAAAGCAACGAGTACAAGCATGGTTATAATACTCCGGCTATGACGCGACCAAAACTCTGGTTACGGTTACGCAGTTAATGAGTAATAGCATGTTTGGCAGTCAGTGATAGTTGTTGAAAATATTTTTTGTTTTTGAAATGTATTAAAATAATATATTTATTTTATTATTTAAAAATTGAATTTTTATATTATTATATTACAACAATCTAAAATCACGGAAAAAAAATCAAAATTTGATGAGAAATCAGTTCAATCATAGCCTCCAAACATAATTTTAATCTAAAATAATATTTTTTCAAAATTTTTAAACAAAACTATATATTGAAATAAAATTGTTTAAAAAAAATCAAATTGAATCTCACTCAATTTTTTACCTAGTCAATTTAACTATAAATTGACCTACCAATTAACTAAGTTTGACCGGTTCATTTTATACATGATTCTAGAGCTTGTTTGTCAGTATAGTTGTGATTACTTTTTCAATAACTTTTCATGTCGAAATACATGTTAATAATATTTTTTATTTTTAAAAAATTATTTTTAATATTACATCAAAACGATACAAAACATATAAAATATATTAAATTTTAACAAAAATACAAAATAATTTAAATTTTATAAGAAGATGGTTTGACTAAACCTGAACCAAGCCGACAATTAACTAGCCATGTTGGGTTTTATAATAAGACCATAAGTTTTTATTATTATAGCTTGTTCTAAATTCAGAAATCAGATTTAAAATTAAAATATAACTATCATTCCATTTTCAAATTGAATCTCACAATCTAACTTTATTTGAGATATAATAATAGCAAGGTGAAGGGCATTGAAAAGAAAACAAACAAGAATTTTCATGTCGTTTTGAATTCTTAAGAGAATCGAGCATGTGCATGAGACCATGACTCTGCTTAGCTCAGAAACTGCTGAGGCAAAAACGACAGAAAACCATTTTGCTTTTTAAATTTAGTTTTCTAATTATTTTTTGTTTTTATTTTTTATTAAGTTTTGAAAAAGCGTGTTTATTTATTAAAAATCAAGAGGAATTTTTTCAACAAAAAAATAAAAATTATATCAAAATTACAACTATTTTTTATTAAGAAATTATAATACAAATTATATTAGTCTTCTTAATATTTTATATTTGTGATCATAAAATATTTATTTTATTTTATTTTATTTAAATTAAAATTTACAATAGAAAATTTTTATTGTTAACCAAAAACAAAATCTTTACATTATATTCATTATAAAAATTAAATTTAAGACACTAATTAAATATAAAATTATAAAAAATAATTTTAATATTTTTCATTGCTCAAAGGGTGTGTGTGTATATATATAAACAAACCTGTATTATTCATGCTTTTTAATTTAAAAAATAATGAAAACAATTGTGAATAACATCTCCCACGTGTTTTTAGAAAATTATTAGTTATAAAACTGTGATAAAAAAATAATAATAATAAAATAGACGAACCCACCAACCTCCAAGCCGCCCACTGACCTGAAGTTTTATAACTGGTATTTATCTTTACAGCAAGTCTATGCTTCTTGGATGTTGATCACAAATTTGAAAAAAGATGATGAGCATCAACTTGGCTCTCCAGAAACACACAAGAATAAATGGAAGGAAAAGAAAAACACAAGGAGTATCATATGCAGATTTTCAAAGGCAAGTTCTCTTTCTATGACTTTGAATTCAAGTTTTTTGAATCAGACCAAGAAAATCAAACACTGCGGCCTGTCATTTTCCACGACAGGTGCGCCTCTAATCCAGTTGTATCCCTCTGGCATTAGAGAGAAACAGTGGACTTGTCTAGAGCTTATGGCATTAGAGAGAAACAGTGGACTTGTCTAAAGCTTATCACCCCCCACCCCCCCAACCTTTAAAAGCAAGAAAAAAGAACGGATTTGAGCTTCCTTTTCCTACTAGCCTTGTGTGTACATGCAATAACCGGTAGCAGAAGTTCGCCAATGGCATGGCAAGAGAGATAAAAAAGATAGATAACCAGCGAAGGAAAACCAAAAACCACTTTGATTTTCCATTGATCATTGTACCCTTAATGACCTCAAAACCGAGCTTACAAATAGCCAGAGTTGGCTTATGGATAGGTAAAAGGTGGGAAAATAAACATCATGGAAAGGAAAGAAGATATGTAAGATATGCAAAATCTAACTCCTATGGAAGGGGAAAAAATTAATGACTAGAGAAGCAGATCTTGCCAAGGAAAACCACACAAGCACCACCAGCAAGAAAAAAACGATGGAATTGAGATGCTTCCTGCCCAAAACTTAAATGTTTGAACGATAAAAACAAAAGGGGGAAAAGGAACTATCTATCAGCAGATTAACCTAAGGCGAAGGCTCTACTCTTCTGGTGATCTCTCAAATAAACTACTCTTCACCATCTCTCCTATGCGCCCCTCCAGGCCTTCTGTCAGTTATTCTATTTCCTTCATCACAGTTAGGAGTATCATTATTAGCCACCAATGAATCTTCTGCATTAAACCGGAACCGCCGCAGACTGTCCGTATCATATTGTCTAACTCGCTGAGCCATATCATATCTGTTATGCTTTCTCCTGTCATCATCACTACCATCAAATTCACCTCCCCTGCTAGCACTCCCCATATCGTTAAATTTTCTGGATCGCATTGTCGGTCTGAACTGATCCTCTGAATCCAATCTCCGGATGGTACGCACCGAATCAAATCGTTGATTTGGACGGAACATATTCACAGGTGATTTTCTTCCCCGGAAACTATCTAAACCACCATTTCGATCATCAAACCATCTGGGGTTATGCTGTGTAAAGTGATTTCTTCTTGTGGGGATAAACCCCTCTTCAAAATCAGCTGGAATACGCTTCTGAAATGGCAACCTCACTCTATCCATCCTAGCATCAGTCCTAAAATCTGGAGACCTACTACGAAGTCTTGAAACCTCATTTCTGACCCTTGGTAAATATGAAGATGGAGAGCGACTTCTGGATCTTGACCGAGATTTCTTATGAGTGAAGGGATAGCGAGGTTGTCCTCTGCATAGGGGAGAAATGCTTCTTTCTCTCCTAAGCATCCGTGGTGCAAAACGATTAGAATATTCAATCTTGTCCTCTGGCATTGGCCTGTGGTATTCCTCTCTCAAGCCTCCCCTTGCAACCTCTCGTGGAAATCTTCTAAATCCACTCCTGATTGGACTACCATCTCTCACAGGCAATGCTCCTGTATGCACCCGGTATGAATCATCTCTGCTGGTAGGTGATCTCCTCCTGACAATCCGTTCATATGCACCATTGGAAGAAGGATTAACAAATCGCCTGCGAGCACGATTGTCAGATCCGGCAAAACCTACTCCTTCAGAATCGGTATGGTCTGAAGATATTATATATCTGCGTCTATCAAATCCACCTCTTGTTCTAGGATGTCCAGAAGTGTAATTGCCACGATAATTAGATAAATATCGCCGCTCTGAGTCACAGTAGCCTGTTGCATGGTTGACAAAGCGATGGCCTCCAGGACTTCTGCCACGCATTTGCAGAACAGGCCTGTCCCTTCCCATGAATTTATGGGAGCCTGCATCCCTTTCATCTCGAGGATATAAATTACAGATATTCCCGGCTCTGAAATATGAGAACAAGCACAGATTAGCAACTAAAGCATCGCAATTTACAAAGAAAAAAATTAAAAGAGAGAGAACTGATAAAGAATATACAATTTACCTGCTCCTAAGTGTAGGATCCTTCCTAAACATGGAACTGGACTCCTCAATGCTTGACAGGAAATCTCTATTAGATGTCCTTGATCCAACAACCCCAGACAGGAAATCCTTGTCAGTAGTGACATCAGAAGTTCTTGTCTTTGGACTAACTGATTCATCTCTCAGACAATCCCCCATCCCATGTTCAATTTTTCGACTAGCATCATCAGATCCTGAACTGGAACCTCTCTCAACTTTCATTTCTTTCTCATTATCCATGCCACAAAATCTTTCTTCATCACATTCAGACCCATAGTCAACATGCTCGACTTCCCCATCCTCTCCATTTTCATCCCAGTAAAAGCGTGAATCAGATTCCCTCAACTCCCCATCCTCAAACTGAGAATCATAACCAGCCTGAAGTTCTAAATCATTTTCAGTGCCAGCTATGACCTTACCAGCTTGATAAACATCTGATTCAAAACTATCTTCAAGATCTTCCATATTGACATTAGCTGAAACACTTGTAAAACCATTACCATGTGCTCCACATGCATCTCCGGGAGTAACAGTTGAATCTGCAGAAGACTTCTGCATCAGTTCCTCAGACCCAGCTTGCACCGGAGAATGAACTTCAGCTTTACTGGCGGCAGAAGCTTCATTGGCTCCTCTAGCATCCACTTCCATTACAGGTTGGCCTTTCTCAGCAGACGGACTGGATGCATAAATATCTCCACTATCAGGCAAACAATGGCAGCCACCTGCTTCTTCTTCGCAACTTCCAGCTTCAATTCCAAGCCAAGCAGGTCCTATTGGTGGGAAGTTTTCCAAGCTACTCGTATTTTGAATTGACTTCCCATCTTCATGTGTACAAGATGCCTTCTGAGAATTCTCTCCATTATCATTTGAAATTGAGAGGTCAATCTCGCAAGTAACTCTCTCTAAGTTTGGTAGATGGTGTGAAGAAATGTTAATCGACTCAACTTGCATGGATTCCGTATGCAAAACTTTTCCCATTTGGTCATCTGATGAACATATTTCTGAACACTGCTTGAGGGTAAGGCTAGGAAGTGTATTGCATGGTGGATGATCTAGGGACTCTTCCCCCTCAACAATCTGACTGGAAGATTTTGCAATGGCAACATCACAAATGGAGGGTTCCAGAGCATTACCAGTTGGAGATGGGAAGAGCTCTTCATCATTTCCATCATGTAGAGAACATGCTTCAGATGGATGTTCCACTCCATTTGATTCACAAGTACCAAGAGACAAGCCTATCAAATCAACAGGTGTATTATCCCGATGTAAATCAGATGAAACCACTCTATCAGGAGGATTGTGTTGTTCTAAGGCTTCAGGTTTAGCCTTGAAAATCTGTAAATCATTTTCACTTGGATCAAAGCTCAAAGTATCACAAGATTGCTCCCAGGCAACATTCAAGTCCAAATTCAACATTTCATCCCGTGACAATAGAGATCCTTCTCCTGTTCCGCCTTCCTCGGTTGCAGCAGATGCATGCAACACTGTAACTTCATTATTTTGAAGAGATAAAGCCCCTGTTTTATCTTCATGTGCCATATCTTTTGGGGATGCACCAGTTTCTTTGATTGGAGCCGCAGAGGAAGATGAGCCCGCTCCTCCTTGTGTTGACTCTTCCATTATTGAACTTTCTTCAACACAAGGCAACGCTGTAACTTCATTGTTTTGAAGAGAGAAAGCCTCTGTTTTATCTTCATGTGCCATATCTTTTGGGGATGCAGCAGTTTCTTTGATCGGAGCCGCAGAGGAAGATGAGCCTGCTCCTTGTGTTGACTCTTCCATTATTGAACTTTCTTCAACACAAGGCAACGCTGTAACTTCATTGTTTTGAAGAGAGAAAGCCTCTGTTTTATCTTCATGTGCCATATCTTTTGGGGATGCAGCAGTTTCTTTGATCAGAACTGCAGAGGAAGATGAGCTCCCTCCTTCTCGTGTTGATTCTTCCATTACTGAACTTTCTTCAACACAAGCAGCATCATTAATCATACTGTTGTCGCAAGCAACAGCAGCAAGTATCTCAATACCTGAGAAGTCGTCACTGTAATCAAACTTATCATTAAACTCTGAAGTCTTCAGACTGAGCATAGTTGGAACAGTCACATCAGTTGCTCTACGTCGTCGTTTTCCACTTGAATTGGGTAGAACCACTTCAAAGTGTGGAGATGTGGTATGAGAAGGTTTTGAAGGACCCTGGGCTGTGAATCTTCTTTTTTTAATGGGCACATGCTCAATTTTCTCATTTTTCCCACTGAAGCGACGTCCAAGAACAGCCACACCATGCTGCAACAGAGACAAGCTAATGTTAAAATCCTCACATAGCATGGAGGTGCTAATCACGATCAAGAACAATGAAATGCAAGATCAAATATCAAAGAAGAAAGTAGTGTAATGTTAACCTTCTCGGTATCTGAAACTGTCATATCATCCGCATTTCTGGCACTCTCATCTGATAGCTTTGTCTCAACAGTAAAGCTTCTCACAACTGGTTTACGCCTGGAGACACTCCGGGAGCCTTTTGTAACTGTCTTCCAGGTCAAATCAGGATTTATAAAATTAGTAAGTTCTAGACCTACTGCACTCATCATGCTCCCAGATCCAATAATTCCTAGCCCATCAACTGATGGCCCACCACTCAAAGTCTTGCAGGACGCTGTTGCTCCTTGCTTTCTACTGACCACAGGAGTGGTACAGGATTTAGTCTGAAAAAATAAATACAAATCTGTCAGTTAAATAAAAACTAATATGAATCTACCACAGAGACCCTTACCAAATCTGTAAAAATCTAGCCACAAATAACAAATAATTATCAATTTACAATGACAAATCACTTCTTTTTCATAAATAGAGTTCTTCTTACATTAACACCATCCATGTAACAATCAAAACTTCATACAAATGTGAAAACATTGAAAATCCCAGAACTTACTTTGACTCCCCCAATCTTGACAGAAGAAATTTCCTCAGATCTAACCCTCTAACGTGCTGCTGCCGTTCCTACCTGCAAAACAAGGGAAATAACATCAGCAACTCAACCAAAATGGAATTCTACACGAATCAGAACAGCTATTTCAGCACATTGTCATATAGTTCAGCGCTGATAACAAGATCTTCAAGGAGATTATGTTAAACATAATTGAAGGACTGCAAAGACCCCCTCGGCTCAGATTCTATATATCTTTGCTGCAGGTCTTCTTTGTATGTCATTAACAGAACATGAGACGTAGTAGAGATAGAGTTCATCAGTATTTTTTCTATAACCTAAGCCCACCAACTTGCAAATAAATAGTTGTTTGAACAACAAAACAAGACAGCAAATCTAGTTGCTAGAGACACTAATTGTGTCTGGTCCAAAGATCATCCAGAACATCAATTAAAAAGGAAGTCATCTTCTAATCTCAATCATAAGCAGAGAAGAAAACCCATGTATTCACTGCCTGCGATGGATGGATTTGCTCAAAAACAAGTAGATGGTAAGCAAATGGGTATTCGGAAATTACAGATCCGATACAACAAATCAACTGGAACAGAAGAACCCATCACCGAAAAAAAAAAGCAGATTCCAAATCTCACTGCAACAAAGAAAACCCTGACTTCAAAAATCTTGCTCTGCAGGGAGTGGATCTGACTTCTCCTCCTGATCTAAGCTTTTCGTCTTCTCTTCTCGTCGACACACAAAAGCCATAGAAATCTATATCTCCAGTAATTCCAAGAAAACAAACAAATCGTATAAACTAATCAAAATAATACCTTTTTTGTCTTATAGATATTGTTTTTCTATTCCTTTAATAATATTCACAATCGCCGCCGCCGCCTCCTCCTCCAGTCTTTGAAGCTAATGATAATAATATCAACAGAACATAGAAGACAGTCCGATCAGCAAATTCTTCAGAAATATTCAATTCTTCGAGTATTTTAAGTAACCTTCGCCAGATTCCGATCGACGAAACTCCGATTAGTAGAGAGAATTTTTTAGAGATATTTCTGTCTAAGAACAAAGGAAGGAAGGAAGGAAGCCAATGTCTTGCTTTAAAGAACAAACTTTAGATCAACGCCACGAAAGCCCTATCTCTATCTTTGCCCCTTTTTTATTCTCCACCTTATACCCAAACCGCCCTTGTTTATTCTCGCCAAATGACCATAATGCCCTCCTTCCTGGTTGCCCGCTGTTGACTATTTATGCTTTGTGGGTGTGTGGTTTCTTGGGAATTTGAGGATATATTGTATTTTAGTGGGAAAAAAAGAAAAGATTTGAATGATTTATTTGCATGTTTTCCTATTTTAATTAGTATTATTTCCATCAATTTACTTTCAAAATTTAAATTTATTTATTTGTGTTTTTATTTTTAATTTGCCCTTTACTGTGTCTTAGACTTGATGCTCGGAGATGATGTACAAGCAAAGTATTCATGCAAAAAGTCAAAGAGTCAAATAGTGTGCAAGGGGACAAAGGGCCTATTTTAGCCTTGGGTTTTGGTGACAATCACGGCATCTTCCAATTTATTTTTTATTTTTTTTGTTGAGAAGTTTCCTATTTTGATTTATTCTTCAGAAGTTGTGGTGGTGTATTCGTCTTTCTCATCTCCTTTTTATTTAAAAAAAAAAAAAAACAATAGCGGGTCAATGGGCACAGGCCCAATTACAGCCCGGTAAGAAGTTTTAGCTGAAACATTAAAGCCCAGTAACGTAGCATCCATGTAAAAGGTAAGCACCAGAAATTGTTTGGCAATGTTCTATTTTTTAAAATGTTTTTTAAAACTCTTTTTTAAGTGTTTTTTATGTTTTTTTATTGATTATTTTAATATGTAACATAAAAAAAATACTATTTTAATAAATTTATAATTAAAAAATATTATGCATTACATTGTTTGTACTAAAAAACTAAAGTTTGGATGTTAACTTAGCTCCCCGCTATTTATATTATTTTTTTAATTTTCTATAATTATATATAATTTAATACAATTATTCAATAAATATGAAAAATATTATAAAAATAAAAATCTAGTCGATTCTGAATTCAAGAGACTTAACCTAACTTGAGACATTCTCATCCCTGAATTAAAAGGGCGTGGGGATGGATACGCAAGACCCATGGGAAGCTTTCCATGAAATATGATAATTAGGTTAGAGATTTTTTTTTATTTTTTGTTAATAAATGGTAGGCTATAATGTTTCCTTTGTAATACAGCAAAACATAATTAATTAGGAGTAGATGATCATGCATAAATATGATAATGCCAAGCATTATCTTAGATGTATGGAATGATTTTTCAACATTTAGAAGTTTAATATCATCTATCTTCTTGTTTTGTATCGTTTTTATTTTTGTTTTTTAAAATATCTTTTATTTAAAATACATTAAATTTATATTTTTTAAAGTTCTATTTTGATGGTTTTAATATATTAATGTTAAAAAAAAACTCATCATTTTAATATATTTTTAAATTAAAAATACTGTATATTATAATACCAAACATATGAGAGCAATCTACTCTAGCTGGGATTTCCACCAAAAGATCATTTAAATTTTTTTGAAGAAAAAAAAATGAGAAAGAATTTAGAAATTGAATATTTACACTTCATTGATGAAAAAAATTATAGGCAATATATTTATTAGATAGCATTACTTTCTCAAGATAAAAATAATAAAAATAGGAGAAACATATGTTTATAAACTTTTTTTATTTTAAAATGACAAAAACTTTTTTATCATAGAATACTAATCAAATACAATAACTTTTTCTCCTTGTTGTTTTGAATACATCCAATCCTCGAGTTTCAAAGAAAGTTTATGAGATTTCCAAAGGATTTTGTATGATCTGTATCATGAGCAAGTCGTTATCAAATTATCGAAGGATTCATATAATCTTCCAAAGTTATAAATAAAATTGAAAAAAAAATTGAGACACAGTTGCATTATTGGAGAGGAATTTGTTAGGTAGAAAAGGAAAATCATTCAAATCATAATCACTTCAAGTCTTCTTCGAGAAAAAATGTGAACACCCAAATTAACTATCAGTAAAGGACAGAGAGAAAGCAAAAGGAATTTTTATCCTAATGTAAAAAGCAACTCATGATAAGATAAAGACATAATGGTCGAAATTTAGGGCAGTATTTTATTTTATATGGTAAAATTAGTTGAGATATGGATAATCTAACTTGAATATTTATATTAAAAAAATATTATTCTTTATAACTTTGTAGCCTTTGAGAAAAAAAATAGATTGGGAAACAATATAACAAAAAAAGATAAATATAAAATTGTATTTAATATAGATATATAAGATAAAATGATTGTTTATGTATTTTATTTTGTTATGACATATAAAATAAAATAAAATAAAATATGAAAAAAAACATAGTTTACCCCTTAACATGTATTGTTATCAAATTTATATATTTTAAAAAAATTAGATATTATTTTTTTTACTTTAGTTTATATAATTTATATTGAGTGTTGAAATTAATAATATTAGTTATATAACTAAGACTGAATTGATTGGTTGATTTGAGACCTGTATAGATCTAAGTTTAAAAAAATAGAGAAAATATTAATTTAATCTAACTTAATAAAAAACTCAAATCAACATAATATAAAATACAGGTCAAAAACCTGTTGATTTAAAAAAAAATTATCAAAACAAGATTGTTTGATTTTTTTATAAAATCTAGATTAACTGAGTTGATCATCCTGATCCATGACATGAGCTTTATATCAATTCAACTCCCGGTTAGATTTTAAAACTATGATTATAATAATTTTTATTCATGTATTAACTCAGGTTAACCCTTATTGATCTCTCAACATATGACATAGGCTTTGCTGTAGTCAACTTTAAAGTCAGGTTTTAAAACTATAACAATAACAACTATTATCCTTACATTGACCTTTACACTTACCCTACTGAGCTGTGATTTAGGTATTGCCTCGAGTTAACTAAGTTTTTAAACCATGATAATAACTATTTTTATTTTAAATTAAACTATGATAATAATTATTTTTATTTTAAATCAACCCTTGTAATATGTGAGTTAAACCTTACCCTCCCTCTTAATATGTGAGTTAAACCTTACCCCGAGTCAAGTTTTTAAAACTATGATAATAATCATTGTTGTTTTTATATGGACATAGATCAATAGTCAATCTCACTCATGACTCAATTCTTGTATTGAGTCAATTCTCGAATCAAGTTTTAAAATTATGATAATAATCATTTTATTTTTCTATTAACTCAAGTAAATTCGACGTATGACCCGAGCCTCGGCCACTGACCCTGATTTTGTCCTGGATTGACTCTCGAGTTAGATTTTAAAATTATGATAATAATTATTTTTATTTTTAAATGTTTTAGTTAAATAATTTTAAAATTAAGAGTTTTTGACAAAGATATTAAGAGCTTTTTTATACCTTGTATTTTGAAGATATAATTATTTACTATAAAATTATTCCCAAAACAAATTTATTTTTGTATCTTTTAACTGAACATGATACTTATTTCTTCACTGTCTCTATCTTTTATCTCGCAAGACACGATAGAATGGGTATCATATGAGTTGCTGTGAAAAGGCATCAGCTATTGCAAAAGCCCAGGTGAAATTTACTGTAAAATTTTGTGATTTTTGTCTATATATATATATATATTTCGAGTGAAGATGGTTGCTCTGGAGGTCATGGTAGTAAGCTATGATTTCTTTTTCACTCTCTTTCAACTAGTTTACATGGATTGAGAGTTGAAAAAAAAAAACACGAGAAATTGAATTTTTTGGAGTGGCTGCTATGATAATGGCATGGAAAAATTTTATGGTACATATAAGTAATTAATGGCATTCTACTGACAAAAAGAAAAGAAATAAAATAAAATCCAAAATATTAAT